AGGAGCAACTGGTGAGCCGATTCACACACTGTAGGCTGAAATTTTTGAAACCCGCTCAACCTGGACAAAGGCTGACACCTGGTGCCCTGTCTGACTGGAAATGCTTGGTGCCGCAACTCATGCGAGTGTATTCGACTTCGCTCGACATGTTCGCCCTTAAATGTGGTGGACTCCAAGCAGCCTCCGATGCTACGGGACAACGTTCTGCAGCATCTTGCCTGTGGGCAGCAAATTTCATTCAGATCGTCGTGCTGAGGATTCGAGACAGCAACAGATGCACCCAGGCGGGCCCGTTTTCGTCTGTGCAGCTGTGTGCCATGAGTGACACCCTCCATTCACCCTCAGCAGACTATCTCTGGCGGCTCGCACTCTTGCACAACTGGTCCACCAGGAACACAGTCTTCTAGAGAGCTCCTACAAGTCGCAGCTTCTGTGACCGCGTGGGCTCGGACGCACTGAAACTCACATTTCGTCGATGCTCCGCACAGCCCGGCTCCTGTTGTCGACATAGCTAAAAACCTCTTGGCAAGCACGTGTTCCTTGGCTTATTCAAGCAAAGGGCACTGCGCCGACATATGTCCCATTTCGTGGTCCGAGCGGCGCGCGGCGTCCAGGCCAAAAGTCTCCAGCATCGCCTCCCAGTCCTTGGAGCGGCCCGCGAAGTGGTAGAGGAGTGCCGGATCCTTTGAGCACGGAGCGATTTCCCGGCTACAGCTTGCAGCATTGCCAACTTCAGCCAAAGTGTCGGACAATCCTCTGGCGCCAACAACATGGTTGATGTCAGTAAGCCGCGGATCGACGAATCTGCAGGGGCACAGTTTCTTACAAACTTTATAGACTATCGACGCAACTGAATTTTCGAAAAGAAGCAGGACAACGAAGCATTGTCTCAACCGCCTTCGCTTGGAAACCATTAGTCACTCGTCATAAGTCATTAGCTTGCACGGGCGGTGAAGCTGGTCAAGCTCGTCATCGCGATGATTCTTGCCGCTGTTGGAATGAAAAGAGTTTGTTCTAAGTTCGCATAAGTATAAGCATCGACCATATGAGTCCGGTCACCGTCTAGACAAGTCACCATGGAACAGCAGCATCCCTGCTGTTGGTGACGGACCGTACTGTAAACGACAATGCAGCGACAAAGGGTGTTTGCAGCGAGATGTCACTGCACCCTGTGACCACAAGCATGGAATCCACCCGAAGCAGGAACATGTCCAAGCCGTGTGCATAAGGGCCAAGAACCGAACAAGAAGCCATTGCCGACAGACTGGCCCGAGCATTGCAAAGCCTGTGCCTGATGATGCTTGAATTGCGGTCGCCGAAGGGGCCGGCCAGTTCTTCACTGACCCGCCACCAACACAGTGCATAGAGCGAGACCTCGTGGTTCCTCGATTCGCCGCGACAGCAGTCATGCAAGCGCTGTGGCTGTGTAGGAATCAAGCATATTCAACTCATCTTGGTAGCGGAGTGAGCTTCTCCTTTGTGGCGAGTCTCCCCTGATGGTTGGGGAAGAGGTACTGTGAGCACTCCGAATCATAGGTAGCCTCAGAAGTTCAGGATCAAAAGAGGCACAATGACAAAGTCGACCACCATGGCGCAGTAAAGCCGTCAAGTGCACGTTCATGTGAAGACTTCCGCAAGAGCTTGCCTTCTCATCTTTGCATCTCAAAACGTGTGTTTTATGTCTTGTGTTACCTCCTCACCAGCACCATCCTCTGACAGTCTAGGCTTGAAAGCCCAGAACATCTCACATGAGTAGCTGCATGGTTCTCTAAGTTGGTTAGTGTGTACACCATCACTCATCTTGTTCTTTTGCAGGCTGGCGACACTTCTTTTCGGGTTGAGGGTGGTGGGTAACAAAGACTTCTGAGGCACGTTGTCTCCTTCGTCTCGCTGGGTTTGACTTGCTGGCTCTTTCAGTCCAGGGCAAGCAGAGGAGGTCCCCGTCTGGTCTTAGCAACCAGAACCGTTTGCAATCACATGTTAGTCTGTGCTGTGCAACTCCCTAAACTTCCATGCTGCGTCAGCAGCAAGACGCTGCTGCTACAACGTGCAGGCACTCAAGATCTTAGACTTCCGTGTACCAGAAAGAATAACTCCGAGTTGGTGTATTTGCAGTTAGGTTCAAATGTCGCGCAATGGCTTTCGACTCCACATTGAGGTGAGAGTCGCCATGCCTCATTTGGGCCTCGGCACTGCGGCGAAGCGGAATCTTACGGATGTGTGAAGGTGTTGTCTTCCTGGGGGAGGGATCGATGCTTCGAGGATGGGCACAGCCTGCCTCCATTCCCAACACTTCCAGGATGGTCTCGTCGAAGGGACCCTGGTCACGCTCGATGGTCTGGAACCAAAGGGCCTGGAGTAAAAACCATCTAAGTATAATCTAGTGATGTCTTGTGACTGAGCCCCACGCCTTCTCAAGAAGAAGCTCTAGGAAGAAATTACCACGGACAGAGTTACGCAGCAGCACCACTCCATTGTTCAGGGTCTGCGGACCTGACTCCATGAAAGTCGAAATCTCAGCACAAACCCAGGACGGGCATGACAGGTCCCAAACAATTGCTCTAGGTGCCATGCGCCCGAAATCACGCAAACCGACGTCAGGAAGTGGCCGACTCGCATCTCAGCATGTGGAAGCAGTGGCAAGACAACAAATTGATGGAAGCTGAACTCCGAAGGCACATAGAGCATGCAAGTTCCAATTGAATTTCCGGCCATGCATCGTTCTGGCCAAGTCCCCGCCAACTCGATGATCTTAGGCAACAGGTCTTGAAGGTTGCCCAGGTCTCCACAGCAATGTTTCGCGAACATTCGAGGCTCGTGCTGACAAGTCCCAGCACGGTGCCACGATGATCTGGTCAGGATCTACTAGCCTCGCAAAATTTGCAAAAGCATCTTTCAGTCAAGCCCGGCCATCTCGTGCTCCAACTCGCGAAACAGCACCCGACATGGCGTTTCATGAGGTTCATGTAAGCCAGGTTGCAGGATCGCTGCATAGAGCGGCAAATACCGCCTTGCAGCGTACCAGCGCAACCAATTGGGCGCTGGCGCTTCGCCTGCACACTGCTTTTTCAGTGCACCCGTCACTGCCAACGTAGCTTGCGACTAACGGGCGATCCAGTGCGGTGTACATGCCCAGCCACATGCGTAGTGGATGACATGCTATGCTTCGAACCTCTCCCTGCACCACCGAGTCCACAATCGCCACCGGCCCACCCCCCTTTGGGGCATTGAGCTCCCAAACACATAATTAAAGGACATTGGGACGTGACACTGCCAAGGATCGCCTAGAGGCTCTTCCAGCTTGCACCCTTCTTCTGCATTCGACTAGTCAAGTGCGCCTCATCCGGGTTGTTCGATCTTCAGTGACACTCGATACGGCTTTGCCTATGCATCGCCTCGAGTAGCCTCGCAGAGGTTGCTGCGCGAGGGTGTCTGTCCCCGTTGCTGCAGCATCTTTTGTGACGGCTGCTGGCCGTCTGAAAGCGGGATTGGCTGAGCTTGCTGGGCCCTGGATGACCAGCCCGCTACATACTGTGCGTACGGATTTGGCAAACGCCCAAAGCTAGCTAGCATGCCGACATTCTGGCGCTCGCCCTGGAAGGATGATGCGCCTTACAAAGCTTGGAGGGTTGTTCAGGTGGCAGAGAGTGGAGCGACCTCCTTTTCAGGCCAAGAGGTTCCAGTCCCCATTGAAAAGGTTCCGAGCATGCTTAGCATATAGTAGCATTATGTAGCATTTCAGCGTGCAGTCTAAGTAAGCCTTCGTCCGTCTCGAGGAGAAAGGCATGCCCGTGGCGCAGCGCATAGCATCTCCACAAGTTGATGAAGGGCTGATACTTCTTGAGCATCGCCGGCGTCGCTGCGATGAGCACTGCCGCCTCTCGAGGATGCATGACAATACAACCTGTGCAAAGATTTTCGAGCGATGACACGTCACCCCGATGACGAGCTGAACTAGCAAAGCTGCCTCCTTTGCTGAAGCAGGCGAGAGTCTTAATTCGAGTCTTGATCGTGAGAGACAGATAGGGTCTCGATCATGGCTTTATACCGAGGAGGTGCAGCAAGCCACGCCGAAGCTTTCCTGTTGTCACACCTGTTCCTCACGGAGAAGGCTGCCGTGGCCACGGCGTGATGTCTGGACGGCACTGGGCTGTCGCTGCGGCAAACTTCGGCCCTGCGGGTGCCACGCATTGTCAGATGACCCAGAGTCTGCAAATGCCACGCCGAGCCTGTAGCTCGCGCTCCCGCGCGCTGGCACACTGGCCTCGCCGCACATTCACCTCAAGGTTTCAACGAGTCATGTCACGCTGTCACCATACACGTGCAGCGTGGCAGCGTCCCGCCAGCTGCCATTGGGGGAACCACCAGTGGGGCGAGATTGTCTCGCAAGTCCAGCGTCCAGTGCGGCTCGAACTCCTATATTTATTGAAACTTCGACAGCAAATGACGAATTGCTTTTCGAGGAAGTGGTCCTTAAAGTACATGCTGGCCCGGAAATAGAACATCAGAGATAAAGAACAGTGGCGCACCTGAGCCACGGCCAGACAAGAGAGCTTCAGCAGATCTGAAAATGTAAACAGGACAGTGACAAATTGAGCGCACCACATTAAGATGCTGCGCCGGAAATGCCAAGGCCTTTGACCATGGCAAGTCGGTGGGCAACTTGCACCTATGCCTTCCGTCGCCGGCATGCCAGTGAAAACCCATCCCGCCTCCAGTAAGAGGACCAGCACGCAGCCCTCTGGACACAAGCTGCACCGTTCTTCCCTCAGCGCCTCATCCTGAAGCTGGCTAGAGGTGTCCTGAAATGGCATGCAGGGCAGTGAGGGCAGGGCGGGGTGTCGAGATGCCAGGGTCTTCGTACGTACTTCTTCACAGCCCCAATTCCCTTCGAAAAAAATCCGATGGTGAAATGCGTTGACTGCCTATCCCAGTAGCAAGGCAGCCCCGCAACTCCGGCACGCCCAGCGGAAGCTCTCTGCCCGTCCCGACAGCCTTGCACGAACCCTGCGGCACCCGCAGCATCTCACTTTGAATTCATGGAGAAGCATCCGTTGTCAGATGCTGAAATACCGCGGCTGAAGTGTGGGAGCCTCCGCTGCAGAGCGTGCAGCGAGTGCGCACCGCGCCAAGAAAGAATGGCCCGTCTCCTGAGACGGCTCACTGCAGCAGCTGCAGCGGATGAGAACACTACGTAGGCATGTATGGTCGGACGACTGTGCCGCTCGAGAACGAGCTGGATTCAGACCGCACTCGCACAGCTGCAATGCATCCAAGTGTCGCCTGTTCTCTCATCAAAGGCTAAATGGCCTGACTACGGCAGAAAGACAACCAATGCCAGCATGCCAGGGCCTTCATTACATGAGCCCTCTGTCGAGAGTCTTGGCTCTGGACAGCCTTTGGGCGCAGCAAGACAAAGAAACAACGATGTCCACCACGAGAGGGACGTCCTGGTCTCAAGACTGAAAAAGTGTACACAGTTCTGAGGCGCTCATGAACTGCAACTGGGCACCTCTTCCATTCAACCATGTGTCATTCTGCAGAGCATTCGGCAGCTTGCTTCAGAAGTAGACTTCGGCTGGCCATTTCACCACAGAAGCCAGAGCAGATCAGGCGGGGAGCTTCGACAATGCAAACATCAGAGCTACTGAGCCCTGAGTAACAACGAGCGGGCAGAAAGTCCCTCAGCTTGTGCACTTGCCAGCACCGATGTGTAATACACAGCGCATGCAGTCACTGTCCCCCTGCTCCCCAAGAGCAAGGGACCATGATACAGTCTTGCTTCGAAGGCATGCAAGCAAGCGCTTACTTCCTGCCTCGTTGTGAGCGTTCTGTCGATGTCGAAGATGCATAGACACGGCTTGGGTGCCTCTTCTTGCGCAAGATCCTGGCATGTCACACGAAGCAGACCTGCTCATCGAACCTCTGCCGGAGTCAAGACAGAAGGAATCGCGCACGTGCGCTCTTGCGAATTAAATGTATGTACGTATTTATGCATGCCAATGCATGCATGCATGTCATGTCTCTATGTCTGTCATGCCTGCTGCACGTATGCATGCATGTATGTGTGCATGCCATGTATGTTATGTATATCGTAAGGCATGCATTAAGGCGTCTGCGCATGCATGCAGCATGCGTGCATGTGTGATCGTACCTAGTTAGTATGTATGTATGCTTGTATGTACGGATAGATGCATGGATAGACAGATAGGTAAACAGATAGATGGATAGATGGATACATAGATAGATGGATACATAGATAGATAGATAGATAGATAGATAGATAAGATTAGTCAGATAGATAGATAAAGAAACAGGCAGATCGACAAAGCGATAAATACAACAGGTAGATAGGGTGATCGCTCCATCGACAGACTGATTCATGTGCTTTATATAAGGTTGAATCGTATGATACCAGTACTTAGACATGCATGCCGCATAACATTGCAGTTTTCTGGGCCCTCGCACCTCAACGTCCTCCATGGAAGCCCAGACACGTACTCTCTGCGGCTGCCACATCCTGGTAGAGGCTTGATTTGAAAGGGAGTTCGGATGACTTTGGACGTTTCCCTGCGGGTTTTCTTGTTCTGTTGTGTTTTGAAGGCCGGAAGCGAGGCGATCCCTCACCAAGCCCTTCTGTACGCAGCACCGAGAAAAGGCTGCAGAGCTGGCACCATCGCTTGCCGCAACTTCCAAGCCTCTGCGTTGACACGTCCTACCGTGAGATGTTTGTTCGAACTAACACTCGAGCATCATCATCCGTCGCTGTCAAGCTTTCCGACACTGCGTCTTTGTGCTGCTCTGCGATCCAGGACGTTCAAGGTATTGCCGCCAGTTACGCATGATGACCATTCCTTTCCTTTGTCCATCTTGTGCGAACGCACTGCGAAGGGAGTTTCATTTGAGGTCGTGACTGACATTGCGTCTCCTGTTGCTACTGGCATCGACTTCTCACCTTCTCTATGCTTAGCTCTGTCTCCTTCTTCGATCCTTGCCACAGTGCCACGTCACGAATTTGGAGGCTGACACATCTATTTGTTCAACTTGTGTCCTACCAGATCTGTCGCAACTGAGGTCAGAACAAGACCATCAAGCCAGCTGCCAACATAGCCCCACAAAAAACCTTCACAATTCAGGAATCCATGTATCTCGGTAGGCAGGCGCCGACACCGGTACCTTGATATATGTGCTCCTTAATCGCGAGGGTGGATCCACCACCTGGCAGGCTGCACGGAGAACTACACAGGATATGTGGCACTGCATTTCGCTGTCCAAGGCCTGCTGGCCTGCCTCCGCATCTGCCCCCTCGACCTGTCAACATGCGTGCGTGCACACTCGGGCACGGTTGGGATTCAGTTCTCGTCAGCCGCTTCGAAGACTCGTCAGCTCCAACGCTGCTGCTTATCGCGGACGCGAAGTTCGTCATACTTGCGGGAAAACTGCCAGAGAAATATCGTCTGAGAATCTTGGCGAATCGGTTGACATGGTTTGCACGTGTACATCAATCTGTCCGGGGACATCGTTTTTGTTGGACCTAGGGGGTTCCGGTTCCGGGTTTCGGGTTCCCGGGTTTTCGGGTTCCGGGTTCCCGGGTTGGGATAGGATCCGGATTCCACGTGCCGGGTTCCAGTTTCCCGCGTTCCGGATTCCCGGTTGGATTAAATTCCGGGTTCCACGTCCGGGTTCCCGGGTTCCGGGGGCCGTTTCGGGTTCCCAGTTCGGTGTCCCGGGTCCTGGGTTCCGGTTCCTGGTCTTTCCTCGCCGGGGTCGGGGGGGGGGGGGGGGGGGGAGGTCCGGGCGACTAGAGACCAGAAGCTATATTATGATGTGTCCACATCGTCGCCGGTTTCAGTTTGTCGGATGCTGCCCGAGAAATCCCGCCAGGACCGAATGACTGCTGCGGCAGAGAATGCGCCTTTTGCCCATCTTGGCACTCTGCATGCGAACAGGACCGCATCGCCCAAATATTGCAGCATCATCACTTTACTCTACCCAGCACGGCTGCAGCAGTATTGTCGATACTTTTGGAAGTATTCATCATCCCGGTCCACGTGGTACCTTTCCAGGCTCCGCAAATTTCGATGCCCCTCAAGTAGACGGGTCTCGCGCATTATGTGTTGGCTCCTAACAAGCTATGGCAAGCTTTTGCTTCTGCGGTCCAGCGAGTTCCTTTTCCTGGACAACTCACTGATGGCAAGTTGTGATGATTCGTTCCATGATAATGGGAGCTCATCTCATGTCTTTGACACCCGTCTTAAAGGGTCGCAGGCTCGCTTCAAACCGCAACTTATCGCAGTCCAAGATCTCTTCTGGCCATCGGATTTTTCAGTCCTCTCCGAGACCCTGAAGACCCTCCGACATACTAGAAGCCTCCCTAAATTGATGTGGGAGGCTTCCTGCTACTGTATTCACCACTATTGGACAGCGGAGGGGAGCTCCACGAACAGTCGAATTTCCCAAGGCGGAGGCTCTGGTCGGAGGGTCGGTGTTGGGAAATGCCAGACCAGTCACTATTGATCTTTCACTGCATCATAGATCGTTTCACTCCTTGCAGCCCAGCCCGGGGCTTAATGCTTGGTTTGAGGCCAGCTCTCTTTCAGCCTTCAGCCCTTCTGTTTTGCAGAGTCGTCGACGGCCTGTCGACCGACCTGAGTCACTGCAGCTTGCTGCATGCCTGGCTCTCCACCTGTTGCTCCAATGCTCCAAAGAATGGCCCGACGGTGAGATTACCTCACTCAAAGCAACTCGGTGCGGTGGCAATTGTGGTTCACTGGGTTCCTGGCTTAATGATGTGAATGGGGTGTGGAGGAAATACGGCGGATGTGTACGGCTCTACAGCCTCCTGCTTTCAAACGGATTCAGCGAGGCCTCACTCGTTTATCCCTGACTGGTAAGTTGGCTTATACAGTATGCCACCCGTACGACGAAGGCTGACTTAGGCTGGCACTAGCCGCCTGCCTCATTTGGATCTCATCCGGTAGAACATGCTGGTCGACATCCGCCATTGCCTTACTGCTGGGTTTCCTGTGCCCTGACGATGGGGCTCTCCGTTCCCTATGCATGGGAGATGATCGTCACGATAGTCGGCGGCGTGCTGTTGCTGATGGAACTACATTATGAAACCTAGTTCAGCATTCTCCGGGAGGCGATCTACTTCAATCATTCATTTCCACGCCGCATCTCACCACTTTGGACGCTGCAAGGCAGAAATACACATCAGCGGCAGAATTGCCGGATGTGCTGCGGATGCCACGGACTTCGGTATCTGTGTACCCCGTGCGAAAGTCTCACATGTTTTGGCTCCTCGTGCGAAAAGATTTTCGCGATGTACCGCGAAGCTTCGTCACCCTGGGCACGTTATGTTTGCCGTCTTGAAAATGGTAAATGAATTGATAGTTTTCGTTCTTTTTTGGGTCACAGAGTCATGTGCTGATCGCCTTGCCTGTTAAAAGCTGTATTTTGCATTGGATGCTGTCGGCTCGGCTATTGTGAACGGCTGTTCCTTGGAACCGGCTGCAGCCTCCAGCTGGAGCAATCTGCCGGACTCTTGCTCTAAAGCCATGATGGAGCAGATCCTGGCGACATGGCACTTCGACCGAAGCCGTCAACAGAGTGAAGGAGCGCCTGCAGCGACCTGGCCGAGCCAACCACTTCGGCCCAAATGGCTAGGACAATGCTGTCGTCATGCAAAAACAATCGTACTGTATGAAGTTGACCTTGACTTTCACGTCTTGCCGGTGTCTGAGAAGGCATGGGGAGGAACTTCCCGCATAACCCTGCTCGCTCTCAACGTAGGCAGCAGGCTTCTCATCGCCCACCGTTCTGACTTGCGAGTTTTCCGCCGATTTCAGCAACCTGCACTACCGGTGTTGCCTCAGAGCAGCCAAAACGGCAAATACGTGCCTTAGAAGCAGAAGCGATGGAAGCAGTGCATTGCTGTTTACATTCCCCGCAAAGCACCACCACATTAGCAGAGATGCTCTCAGATTTGGCGACACACTGTAGCGGCAGCTTCAGGTCTGGATTGGCCGCAAAAGCCTGGCACTGCTTACGAAGCGAGCACATCCCGACCCTGTCCCCCGTTTCCAGGCTAGGCCTCTCGGAAGAGCGCTGTGGCCTCCTACAATCCACGCATCGGCGATTCTGCTTTGGGCTTGAGGTAGCTGCAGGGCGAGAGAGCGAGTGTGAAAGAGAGAGAGGAGAGTGAGAGAGTGAGCGAATGAGAAAGAGAAACACTATGGGATCCACGGTAAGCTTCCAGAGAGGTACAATGCAAAGGTGGTACTAAAATTGAAGCTGCTCTCCCTGGCTTCCTGTTCTATCCTGTTCTGAGACGTTTCGGGGGCCCAGCACGCTGCCGACACAGACAGACTCTGAATTCTGACGGGCTGAGTTGCATTTCACGTCCAGCATGCTCCGTTTCATGTTGTTTCCTACAGGACAGACAAGATACAGACAAGTGCCGTTCGCAAACGTCGACACTCACGTTCTCCTGCAGCTCTGTGGGCAGCTCAGCAGTCTGTTTCAGTCGATAGGCTCGCCGGAGCTTGCGAGCTGCCTGTGGGAGAAAGCACCGAGATCAAAGCTAAAGCATTCTGGGAGAAAGGGCCTCAAAATATCTCAAAATGCTCCCCTCGCCTCCAAAGCCTCTGAGGACAGCTTCTCCCCCATGGATATTGCCTCTTGCAGCGCTGCTATGCCAAAGGAACCGTCGCCGTCGCCGTCGGCCATCGCCATGCCCACCCTGGGAAGCTCGTCGAGCACTCTCAGGTTGCGCAGGCCAACTTGTGCTGCATGGTTGGGACGATTATGTACGATTATCAGCTCCTGGGCACACAGGAGGCCACCTTCTGACAACCTGTTCGAAACAGCCCAGCCGGTTTGTCTATCCACCCTCTGATGCTCGTCTGGCCGAGTTTTCCGGAATCTCCAACATCGCTCAGGTGCCAGGTCTCGAAACAAGTCACGGTCCATGCACATTCTCATCGCGAGCTCTCTAAGCCAGGACCGTAGCTTGATGACACCCACTAGCATGCCGGCTAGCTCATAAACAGGACGACAAAGTCGGTGCATTGAAGTTGCTGGGAGCAGCAAGCCTGCTTGCCTACAGGCAGTTTGAGAATCTTCACCCTACGAGGGACTCATTGGAGACCGGATCCCCGCAATCTGTGCTCTCTGTACCGCGACTTATCTTGCATTCCGCCGTCGATCCTGCAGCGCCGTTCAGCGCAGTCAGAAGCATTTAATATTGCCGCTGAGGCAAGGCTGAGGCTGTGTATCGGTTGTGCAGGCATTGCCTTTTTTCTTGTGTTGCTGGAGGGCCGGATTAAGATAACCAGCAAAGCAAAAGCAATGCACTGGTGCTTGCCTCAGCTGCTCGGCCGGTGCGAAGCGCCGCGCGAAGCTCGATGGTACGAGGCCTTCAGGGGGAAGCCAGAGACGTTAGACAAAGACAAATGACTTTACGACACAGGCTCGCTTTCTCCTAGCGCCACATCATCTGCTTTCAATGGCAACCCTTGACCGAGCGCAGCCTGTTCGCAAGCCGGCGTGCCAAGCTCTGGCACGATGCTCCAAGTCAGAGATGACCAAGCGTTTGCAGGTAACATATTGCACCTGGGATCGAAGCTTTCTGCTGGGTAGCTACACGCTGCAACTTGCGCTAGTGCTGAGTGCCTCTTCTTGCCGTCTCGGTGCGATCCGCCACGAGTGATCCTCGTTAGGAAAGTTCTCGTGCGGGAGCCGCGAGTCCCAGACGAGCAAACCACCGCTCGGAACTAAGACCTTCCGTCTTCTTGCCTGCTGTCAAAGCGCGCATTTGGAACGAAGGTCGGTTTCCGGAGTTTTAGCACGGAAAACGCTCGCCATTTTCGGGCTTATTCTAAAAGCGGCTGCCGTAAGTCAGATGTCATTCAGGCACCGTGTCATGCTAGTGCATCTATGATCCTACACAAACACTGCAGACATGTTTCCTGATCTACGGAGGTCAACATGGCTTCTTCTGCAATAATACAAAAGACGGAAAACTTCACACCCGTCTTATCTGTGCGTGACCGATCATAGCGTTGTGAAACGAAAACTCAGAAACGTTGTCAACAGTGTTGCACAGTGATTCCAGCTGTGCATTTTGATTTATTTAATCCTACCCCCTAATATTAAACGGGGGTGGCCCCCCCTCAATAGATACTCGGATTGTATTTTTATTGCCCAAGCAAGCTCAGCGAAGGCCTGTGAAACCTGATTTAGTCCTTTCAGACAGACAGGCAGTCAGGCCTGCAGATTTAGGAAAGTGTGAGGCAAGCTTCGGACAGCCACGCTCACAGACCGAGCTGCAGACAGGCCGTCGCAGCCGAGAGAAGACCGACAGCTGGCAACCAGGGAGGCTCGCACTAAACCCCCAACCTTTGCCCTAACCCTAACCCCCCCCGAATGCAAAATAGGTTTTAAAGGGCAGGGGTGATTTCGGGAGGATTGGGTCCAATGTGTTTTTGTCATTAGGGGGGTGTTTAACAAAAGCCTCGCTGCTGACTTGCTACTCCTCCAAACTATGTCGGGGCTCTGTGGCTTGGTGCCCGTGGTCGGCATCTCGGACGTCGGCGCATCCTGTGCATGTTCCAACACAGTAACTATGTTTGTGCGAACATATTCATTGAGCAAGTGAGGTTTCATTGACTTTTTGTGAGGCAATCTGCCAGTTGCAAATGCGTTGCGATCCAACCATACTGCGCGAATGCTTCGTGACTAGGCACATCGTCTTCCCACAAGGTCTGTCGCAGTCCGGCGAATTCTATGGAGAGTCTTGTCTTCGACCTGCTTCGGAATGGGCGATAACAGATGGTCGGTCCAACTCCTCCAGTCACTACATTAGACATGCATCCGTCTAGCCACTTCTTCCCATTGCCCTCACACGCAGCCAATCGCCGTGCTCCGTCGCATGTTGCAAAGAATATGCCTCGCATTGGAGCATCGCAGGGCATACGCGCTTCCTCGTGGATGAGCCATATGAAATGAGGTGCATGTCATGTGAACTAGCGCTGCTATTGGCTGCATCACGGTGTGACGTCAGGTAGTGAAGTCACCCTCGTTGGGATTTGTGCCCAGCCTCACCGACGAATGGTGCGGCACAGAAAGTAACAACTGCCAATTCACCGGTACTCCATGGTAACCGGGCATAACCGGGCTTTGTAGACTATGCTCCTCTCTGCGTCGTTCAAAGCTAACGCGACGACGCCATTCGCGTCCTTCAGCGTCTCTGTGGTCGCCTTGGTCAACTGTTGCTGAAGTGCGTTCACTCGATTGAGATCGGGTCGTGTAGCTCGGGCAACCAATGCTAAAGACCCTACCACTGACCTCAGCGCTGTCTGTTGAGTCGCTGTGACTGGTGTGGTTGGCTTTTCATGGCACCCTTCGGGATATCTAAAGATCGTATCGCTCTGGTATTATCCCGGCAGTTGATCTCTATAGTGCCATCCTGACGTTGTATATACAAACTGTCACAAAACCGGAGTTTATCCTGTTCAATGCGACGTTCTTTGAAGCGATGCAACAAACACTGTATAGCGTGTTCTCCTTTGCCGTGAGCTGCCCAGAAGAAGTCGTCAACATGAGTGCACAAGGCTGCACAAAGTGTTCCTGACTCAGCCGTAAGGAAAGGAAGTGCAGACAGAATCTGGGATGCTCGCAATCCAAATTCTCGGCTACTCTCCTTTACGCGGAGGCACAGATTCCGACCAGCATCTGTCGTCCCATAGACTGGCATGTGAGCTATCATATAGCCGGCTTCCTGGATCTCGCGATCGAGTAACTCTTTCGGATGTTTCGGAACTCGAAGGATGAGTAAGCGTGCTAAGGGTTTTTTTGCAAAAAGGAATTCGCGACATCAGCGGCTCGTGCCCTAAGTCCAAGGGATACAGCCCAACTGCAAAATCCCCTCTTGCTCAGCTGTTGGTGAATCGGCTCGTATGTCTTCTCCATTCGTCTGTTTCCCTGGAGATACCTTGATCTAGGTCTAGGTAGGACCGGCTCCTGAGCTTGTACATGATGAGCGGCTACTTCTATCTCATTCGCGGGTCGCAGTTTTCGGGCATTAACGAGAACCAGTACGTTCTCATGCAATGTAATAGCCAATATGCGTTTGTTTGCCTCGTCCCGTCTGTAGATAACCAAATCACCAACATCATATAATTTGGCGTCCACGGGTGCAGCGTTCCTTTGTAGCACCTTAGCTACTGTGCGTGATGCATCCAACCAAGTGTACGAACGCCTTTCTTGCTTCCATTCGGGCCCAGAGTCGCATGTAAAATGGGCCCGTCTCGTCATATCGGGCCAGGTAGTTCCTTTGCTCTCGGGCTCACCGGTAACAGATCCTGGGGCTCTTGGCCGTTTGCCTAACACATGTTGCGCAGGACTGACGCCTTGGTGTCGCGAAGGTCCGTTCTTCGTAGTGACACACCCAGTCAGCACGCTGAGATTCCTGCACAGTCTTGCGCAACAACGCTTTGATGATGCCGCCGCGACGTTCTACTATCCCTTCCGTTTGCTGATGATGTACTCCCTGCTGGGCCAAATACTGTGCAAAATCGCCCTTGAAATGTGCGCCTCTCTTCGTATAACGACGTTATTCGGACGCCCTGCCCGGGAGCTCCATCTCTCTGTTATAACACCTTGAGACACTGACGTTCACTAGGGTTGCCCCCACCGGTTTTGACGATTGCTACTTGTTGAAAACTCGCGCCGACGTCGACTATGTCACTATGTTGACGGCGTTTCAACGGCTTAACGGTGCCCGGAATAATCCTTTATTTCCGAGCAACCTACACCATGGTAAACAGGGGGTCCCCCGAAACCGGATGATGTCGTGGCACTGGAGCGGTGTCCAGGCAAACCTTGCACTTGTGAAGTTGGGAATCAAATGCCCTCGCCTGTCTGAGAACTTGTGCTAAAACCGCTCCGGGAATATGTCCGAAGGCACTGTGGAGGCGCCTGATAGTCACTCGCGTGCACTATGGCAAGGCTCTCCATGCAGCTCGGCGCTCAGCCTCTGCGCCACCCCTATCGTCGACATCTCTTGGTTCACGAGACATCTCGATGTCTGAAATCAGCTCCTCATCCTCACAGGATCGGTGTCCCGGCCCCCTACAAAGCAAGTTCGTGCGAAGGAGGCAAGGTACATGCTCTTTGAAACATCATTACAGACTTGCAAACGTCGGCCCCACTGGTATCATGATAACATCGTGGACTCCAACCGTAACTCTCAGACCACGCATGGACCAGGTTTAATGCATCATTGATCATCGGGCCTATCCCCGAAATGCATAAATCATAAACCGCCTCTCAACTCAAGTCTCTCTTCCAATGTACAACAGCCGCAAGGACTGACGAGGACAAAATGAACCTCAAGCGTATCGCTGACACACTCTAACTCCACACACAATTCCTCGTTGGGATCTGGCGTCCTTACGACCACTAGTAGGGGTCCCCCCAAACCCATGGTGTCAAACGGGCAAGGGTTGCTCGAGGGTTCGGCTCTGGAAGGCTATTTCGGAAAATACAGTGTGTTGTTGTTTCAAACACCAGGTTTGGCACTGTGTTTGGGGGTCTAAGCTAACTTCGTTTTTTGTTTTGGCCTAAGATGTCTGGTTTCCCGTCGGTGGCAGATCTTGTTTTAGTGGGCACTTGACAAAAACCATGATTTACAAGCTGATGGGGTTGATCTGTCCAAAGACTTGAAAATGGCTGAAATCACAACTGGAGCACAAACTCTAATCCAACTTCTAACATTGGACTCCTGAATTGGGCCTAAGCTGGTTGCTTGTCTTTTCGAGCGCCCTTGTTCTGAAAGAATCTGGTTTTTTCGCATCTCGCTGTAGCTAGTCTCGCTGTTCGCAGAAAAAGGAAGTGCTAGATCTACACACTCAGCAAAAGATAAAGATTTTCGAGGTCTGCACCCAGAACCTTGAGCAAGACATCAAAATTTCCGATGTCTGCACCTGGAACCTGCTGAGGAGAGTTGCTGCAGATGCAGCATTTGCTCCCCAGAGGTCTTCCCTCTGCACCTGCGGAAAAATGAGAGTTTGATCACTTTGCCGTGGTGTTGGATCCTGATAAGCCTTTTTCGTTGAAAAGCAGAAGTCACTTTCCATACTGGCTAAACCCTGCGGGTTTTTGATCCTGCCTGGCTTGTAAAACTGCTCAGAAGCCGTCAAGCTCCCAAGATCGGAACTCGACTCTGGAGGTGAAACAGTTGAAGACCAAAACTTCTTGCCAGACGTCTACAATCTGCCAATCCATGAGAATCAAACAAACATCGACGAGGGGATCCTTTGCAACTCCTCTGCCGGCTGATGGAGGGCCAATGCGGAAATGAGCCTCCAAAACATTTTGCGTCACACAGTCCACGTTGTTAGTGAAGTCGTTCTGCTCGTACTGGCATTGCAGTGGGCACGTTGTGATTCCATCGAGGGAAGGTGTGTCATTCGGCAGCAAGAACTTGATATACATGTTCTACAGCTGAGACTACAAAAAAACCCTACCTTGAGCAGGAAAAGCTTACCAACGCAGCAACTGGTTTAAGGTTTGGGGTGATGCTGGGACTTTGAAGTTTAGTTAAGGACAGCAAAAAACAACTTCGGCAAAAAAAAGACTTTAGCTAACTACGACACTCGGCCGCTGGCTATGGTGTTTGGCTGCCTACTCCACTTATTCCAAGGATCTGGGCATGACTGTGGTGAGTATCCATTTTTCACAACTTCACAAAGCTCGAAGGTTCAGGTTGTGAGAAGTGACAGAAATCGCAACGCTGTGTGGCCTCCCAGGGGCTGCAGCACAAGATTTCACCTTGCTGATGCTCTTGGTTGGCAGGCACCCTCCCGCAAACGGCAGCACAACCGTTTCAAGCTCTCTTCACTTGCTCGGGGTGTTTCTGAAAGGCTTTTTCGTAACAACGCCGATT